GACGCTGGAATACCTGCTGTGCTTTTCCAACTCCACATTTTTTGACTCGAGCTGCCAGCATCTGCAGTCCTCACTGACACCAATGAGGCGAACAGGCCTGGCCCCACAGAATCGAGCACGCGCACAACTCCCGAGACGCCCCTACAGAGTGGCCAGCCGCTCACCCGAACCTCACCACTGAGACTGGTCGAACTGCTGTCGCCGGTTGAAATGTCGCAAAAGTAACTTCTCATTCGTTTTCGAAGACTTTGCAAACCTTTCCAATCTACCTCTCCAGTTCCAGCCTTCCTCCTGCGCGAACCCGTGGCTAACCGCACCCGCCATGACTTTCCACTAGAACGTCTCAGTGAGGCTCCCGCATTAGGACTGTCCATGCTCCCACTGACATCGCTGAACCAACTGGAAGGACGGGCGGGGCTGGAGGACCGAATTTATACGACTGGTCCGCCAACCAATCGGAGTAAAAGAGGGGCGGGGCTGAGCACTGTTCTCCCCCATGGGCTTTTGCAAAATCTCTTCCATTCGTTTTCCTTCTCCGCCTGAAGAAGACAGATTTAAAGGGCCACGCAGGGTTGATGCAAGTAAGAAGTTTCCGGTATTATTATCCAGAAACGGAAACATAATTTAAAAATAAGGGGCATGCCATTTAGGACTGAGATAAGGAGAATTTCTTTACTGAGGCTATGAATCCTCGGAATTCTCTTTCGGAACAAGCTGTCGAAGCTCAGTCCTTGACTACATTTAAAGGAGAAATTGATAGTGGTCTCATTAGCAATAACATAAAATGAACTGTTGCGCGGATGATATGAGTAAAAGGCATTGAAGTGTTAGTCAGCCTGATCACATTAAGCTTCAAAGTGTGGCAGATGGGCTGAATGGCCTATTGCTATGTCTATGTTTTTTCAAGTCACAAAGTTTGATTTTAAACAGACATGATTTCCTTTCAAATTCACAAAAACGTCCTCCTTTCTCCAATGTGTTACCAAAAACACTTTTGCAACCCCTCAATCTCCACCCTGACTACCCACCACCAGCCCATGTTAATATAGAGAGTAAAAACTGAAAGAATTAGGGATGCTGTAAATCCGGAACAAAAACAAAGTTGCTGGAAAAGCTCAGCAGGTCTGGCAGCGTTTGTGAAGGAAAAAACAAAGTTAACATTTCGGATACGGTGACCCTTCCTCAGAACTCAATACAGAGAGTTAATACAGAGAACTTAATATAAAGAGTAGTGGGTCTCTGAAGCTGGAATTATCTGCTGAGGAGGAAATTACTGGGGATATTGTTTTTGTTGTATGAACTAATCTCACTCCTGTTTGTGATTTTCTTATGATTTCTCTGTCCATGATAGGAACAGACTAGTGTGGATCTGCAAATTAGTGTGAATCGAGGGAGTAATGACCATAGTATGATTGAATTCAAATTTCATTTTGGGGGTGAGAAAGTGCAGTCCTACAGTAGTGTTCTGGAATTAAACAAAGGAAATTACATAGGCATGAGGACAGATTTGGCCCAAGTAGATTGGGCAGGAAGGCTAAAAGGTCAGGCAGCAGATGAGCAGTGGCAGTTGTTTAAGGAGCTACTCAATTCCTGACAACCAAAATATCCTAGTGAGGAAGAAAGGTGGGATCAGGGGCAGGGGCAGATACATCCACACCTAAACAAGGAGGTCAGGACAATATAAAGTCAAAAACTAAGATATGCCATTTTGCAAAGGCCAGTGGCAGCAGGAGGATTAGGAAACTTTCAAGCATAAACCAAGGGACACTAAAAAAAAGAGTTAAGGTAAAATATGAAAGGAAACTAGCACAAAATATCAAAGAAAAGTAGGAAAAGCATCTATAGGTATATAAACGGGAACAGTGTCGCGAAGGTGAATGTTGGTCCCTTGACAGATGAAACCGGAGAGTTAATAGTAGGGAACACTGAAATGGCAGAGATGCTAAATCAATACTCAATTTTCATGGTGGAGGACAATAGTACCGTTTCTAATGGAATGGGCATGTCAGAGGCAACAGAAAGATAGAACTTAGAATAATCAACATTGAAAGGGAAAAGGTACTCAGCAAACTGTTAGGATGGGGGCAGACAGGTTCCCCTGGGCCTGATGGCATACATCCTAGGGTTTTAAGGAAGTGGCGGCAGAGATAGTGGATCCGTTGGTTACAATATTCCAAAATCCCCTGGCCACGGAACAGGTTCCAGTGGATTGGAAAAATGCTTATGTAACACCCTTGTTCAAAAAGGGAGGGAGGCACTATGTGGGAAGTTACAGACCAGTTAGTTTAACATCTGTTGTTGGCAGTGTTAGAATCAATTATCAAATAAGCAATATTAGGACATTTGGAAAGTCAAAATGCTATCCATCAGTCAGTATGGTTTTATGAAGGGCAAATCATGTTTGATTAATTTGCTAAAATTCTTTCAAGATGTAACAAGCAAAGTGGATAATGGGGATCCTGTAGGTGTAATGTTCTGGACTTCCAGAAGGCATTTGATAAGGTGCCGCTCAAAAGGTTAATTCACAAACTTGAATCATATGGGATTACGGGTAATTAATTGGTTTGGATAGGTGACTGGCTGATGGACAGAAGACAGAGTTGGGATACATGTTTTTTGAATGGCAAGAAGTAACTAGTGGGGTGCCACAGGGTTCAGTCCATGGACTCCAGCTATTTACAATCTACATTAATGACTTGGATACAGGGATAGAAGGTTCTATAGCCAAATTTGCTGATGACACAAAAATAGGCAGGAAGGTAACTTGCAATAAGAAAATAAGAACTTTACAAATGGATATAGGTAGGTTAGGAGAGGGCCAAAATATGGCAGATGGAGTTTAATGTGGATAGGTGTTATGTCACGCATTTTGGTCAGAAAAATCGGAAGGCGACCTATAATCCAAATGGGGGGGAAGAGTGTTTAGGGTGCTCCAGTGTAGCGGTATTTGGGCGTCCTCATTCATAGAGCATAAAACAGTACAGCACAGTACAGGCCCTTCGGCCCACGATGTTGTGCCGTCCTATTATCCTACGAAGATCAATCTGCTCTGCATACCCTACATTTCACTATCCTCCATGTCCCTATCCAAGAGTCATTTAAAAGTCTCTAAGGTATCTGACTCCACTACCACTGCCGGCAGCGCATTCCACGTGCCCACCACTCTCTGTGTGAAGAACCTATCTCCGACAATTCCCCTACACCTTCCTCCAACCACCTTAAAATTATGCCCCCTTGTAATAGTCATTTCCGCCCTGGGAAAAAGTCTCTGACCATCCACTCTATTTATGCCTCTTATCATCTTATACACCTCTATCAAGTCACCTCTCATCCTTCTTCACTCCAATGAAAAGAGCCCGAGCTCCCTAAACCTTTCCTCATAAGACCTGCCCTCCAGTCCAGGCAGCATCCTGGTAAATCTCCTTTGCACCCGCTCTAAAGCTTCCACATCTTTCCTGTAATGAGGTGACCAGAACGGAACATAATATTCCAAGTGTGGTCTAACCAGAGTTTTATAGAGCTGCAGCATAACCTCATGGTTCTTAAACTCAATTCCCCTGCCAATGAAAGCCAACACACCATATGACTTCTTTACAACCCTATTAACTTGGGTCGCAACTTTGAGGGATCTATGGACGTGGCCCCCAAGATCCCTCTGTTCCTCCACACTGCCGAGAATTCTGCCATTGACCTAAAGTCTGCATTTAAGTTCGACCTTCCAAAATGAATCATGTGTCACAGAAAACTAGCATGCAGGTACAGCAGATAATAAAGAAAGCAAATGGAATGTTGGCTTTTATAGTTAAAGGAATAGAATATAAAAGGAAAGTAAGTATTGTTACAACTGTACAAGGCATTCGTGAGACCACACCTGTAGTTTTGTACACAGTTTTGGTCCCCTTATTTGTAGAAGGATGTAGTGGCATTGGAGAGAGTTCAGAGGAGGTTCACTAGATTGATCCCAGAGACAAGAGCTTTGTCGTATGAAGAGAAATTGAACAGTTTAGGCCAACACTCTCTGGAATTTAGAAGAATGAGGGGAAATCAAATTGACGTTTTCAAAACGATAAAAGGAATGTATAAAATTGACGTGGAGTGGATACTTCCTCTTGTGGGGCATTCCAGGACAAGGGGCCACAGTCTTAGGATAAGGGGTTGCAAATTTAAAACAGATTTGAGGAGAAACTATTTCTCCCAAAGCGTTGTGAATCTATGGAATTTGATACCCCAAGGTGCAGAGGATGCTGGGACAGTCAGTAAATTTAAGGAGTAGTCAGACAGATTTTTGATTGGTAATGGGTTGAAAGCAGGAAATATGGGGTGCGGAGCTACAATCAAATGGCAAAGCAGACTTCAATGGGCCGAATGGCGTAATTCTGCTCCAATATCTTATGAACTTGTGAATCAGCTCCTTTACGAGAATTGGGAGGTGTATATTAGGAGAACAGTGCGAGAATGGAGGCAGTGTACCAGAAAAAAAACAGAATACCTGTTCTGAAGTTACATAATAACAGCGGTGACTTTTTTTAAAATATCTTTCCATAGGATATTGGAAGAGAAGGTCAAAATTGCAGAACTCGTTAATTAAATCTCAAACCAAACATCTCATCAAGATCTAACAGAGTCATTTAATACAATGGGAACAAAATATCACCGGCCTTTGAAACTAGAAGGAAAAATATTTGTCTGTTCAGTCCTCTTCAAAAGAATTCAAATATCAGTTAACGGGAAAAGCACCGAGACACATTCCACAGTCAACTCATTGGAAAATTATCACTTGGAGGGGTAAGAGTTTTGACTCATTGCACAACCACATTAAAGATCACACCATGCAGGATGCAGAAATGTACTGTTCGCCATCGGAGGTGGAAGCTCATTGACAGAGCACGCCTCACACTTATTCAAGGTAAGTTTTGAGAAGACAAGGGAGAGGAAAAGTGAAACAAACAAATAATTTAGATACTTTTGTAGAAGAGATATTAAAAAGTCTTAACACAATATGGGTTTAACACAAAGCTGATTTATTTGACTTTTATTCAGGATATCAACAAAGCAAACCAATGAACAGAGTTCAGTCCGGAAGTAATTAACAGAAAAACCCAACTCCCTAAATAATTTGTGAACTCAGTGTGTCTCAGACTTATAAGCTCCTGACTGAATCTCTTCTTACACTCAATGCAGATGAACAGCCTCTCCCTAGTCTGAAGTCACTGGTGTGCAGTGATGAGACCACTTAAAGTCTCCCCTTAGTGTGAACTTGCTGGTGTACCACAAGGTGACAGGACCAAAGTCAAGGGCCTCTCTGCAGTTTGAATTCACCAGTATTTAAGAGAGGGTCAAATGATCTTCTGAAGCTGGTCCCACAGTGACAGTACGTGAACTCATTGACGGGAAGTCAGTGCCCAGGAACTTTTAGGGCACTTCCCACAGTGTGAACATTTAAAAGGTTTGTCATCAGAAGGAACACGCTGATTAATCAAATCTGTGGAACTTAAAGCATTTCCCACAATCTGCATTTGAAAGGCCTCTTATCAGTGTGAACGGGAGATCAGATTGCTGGATGTTTTAAAGCTTTATCTACAATCTAAGCATTCAAAAGGTCTCTCCTCAGTGTGAACGTGTTGCTGGTTCATCATAGAAGATCATAGAATCCCTACAGTGTGGAAACAGGCCCTTTGGCCCAACAAGTCAACACCGACCCTCAGAGCATCCCACCCAGACCCATCTCCTGTAACCCACCTAATCTACTCATCCCTGAACACTATGGGCAATTTAGCATGGCCAATCGACCTAGCCTGCACATCTTTGGACTGTGGGAGGAAACCAGGGCACCCGGAAGAAACCCACGCAGACACAGGGAGAACGTGCAAACTCCACACAGACAGTCACACGAGGGTGGAATCAAACCCAGGACCTTGGTGCTGTGAGGCAGCAGTGAGCCACTGTTCATCAGTGCCCTTGGAATTTTGTAGCACTTCCTACAGTCTGGGCATTGAAAAGGTCTCATCTCTGTGAACATGTAGATGGGCCATTAAATAACTGAAATTTTACAGCACATTCCGCAAGTTGGGTAGGTCTCTCCCAAGTATGAACTTGATCGTGTTTCACTTGATTTCCTCAAAGAGTTTTGACTTCAGCAAACAGACCAAAGCACTGCTGAACAGATATCCACAAAATCACAATCCTGAAAATGTCAAAATAATTCCATTGATTTCAGCATACTGCACATAGTCTTTAAATATGGACATGCACATGCACACCCGATGCGACAAAGGGCCTGGGTTTGCAGCCACAACATTCTAAAATACACACCTTTATTTTGCTCCATGGTTACAACAATCCCCATCTCTGTAAACTCCTAAGAAGCACAATCTTCTGAAAATGTCCGTAACTTATCAATTCAGGATTCTTGTGCATTCCTGATTTAAATTGCTACACCATCAATGGCCATTCTTTCAGTTGCATATTACACGAGCTCTGGAATTTCCTCCTCAAAGTACTCCTGCTCTCTGCTCCAATTTCCTCCTTTAAGATATGCCTGCTTTTTCCTTCCATGTTCAAAATCCATTGATATTTAGGTTGTGATAAACGAGTCATATCCGTGCGATCTTGATTTAATGATTGGTTTTTGAATTCGTCCTGCAAACCTGCTGTTTCTAGCGCTCTCTGAAGTTGATTGAAAATAGAATAAAGAGAGTGAGAGACAGAGCACTCAAAATCACAAATGCAGGTTGGGAATTTGATCTTAATGAATCTGGTCTTTTGTGGGGCCAGGACATGGGAAAAGTAACCATGAAAGCTGCAGGATTTCATAAAAACAAACACAACTGTTTCATTGATGTCCTTCAGAGAAGAGAAACTGCCACTGCTTTGGACCCACTTAAGATTCTGCAAGTTTTGAAATAATACTCTGATTAAGAGCTAGGTAATTTGAATGAATCAGGAAATGTAGGAGTCTGAGCATCAATCCTTGGGGAACTCCACTATTAACATTCCTGCAGCCTGAAAAACATTGATTATCCAGTGGCCTCTTTCTCCCATCTCGCAGTCAATTTCATATTCAAGTTGCTGCTGTACCTTTAATCTACGATGTCTATCCTCACTCAAGTCTGTTGCATGACATTTAATCAAATGCATTTTTGAGTAAAGTACATGGATGACAACATCTAAACAACACAGAAACCTATCTTTCAAGGAGATAAGAAATGGGGATTATTCCCCCAGTGTGACTGCATTTGTGTCCCAACAGGCCAGCTAATTGGCGGAATCCTTCCCCACACACCAAACATGTATAGGGGTTCTCTTCAATGTGAACTGTGCTCTTTCTTTCCATGTTCAAAATCTATTTACGTTATGGTTGTGACAAATAGGAAACCTCCATCAGATTCTGAGGTGATGGATCCGTGATCTCTGACTGTAATTCCTCCTCCTCTAAACACCCACTGAAACTGTTTTAAAACAGAGAAAAAAAAGGGAGTGAGAGAACACCCACAAATACACAAAGGCAAGTTGTGAAATTCAGCTGAATGAACTTGCTAATTTGTTGGGCCAGAAAGCTGACAGAATGTTGTAAAAAAAAAAACAAACTGGACCACTAATGTCCATTGGGAAAGGAATCTGCGTCTGCAGTCTGAACATGCACAAGACTCTGGCCTCTGCAGGGTGACTCAAAAAGAGAGGAGAGGTGTGAGAGAGGGAGAGGCAAACGAGAGAGATTCTATGTATTTACAGTTCGACAAGAACTTTGACAGAATCTCCCAAACTTCACCATCTAGAATGACCAGGATAGGAGATGTACGTGAACACTGTGACCTCCAAACTTGCCTGACATCTAATACTAGATAAATAGAAATATTCTCCAAAAAATAAAAGAAACTATTTTTAGTTACAAACTCCGCACTCTGGCCCACATTTTCCTCTTTGAGGTTATTGGCTTGCTCATCGATATAGCTGGTTTTGTCACCATGCTAGGTAACATCAGTGTGGTCTCCGATGACACAATGTTGTTCTACTCCGCTTGGTATTTGTTGATTGCCTTAGAGGTTGAAAACCAGGTCTGTAGGAATTTCTGTGCATCTCTGTGGTTGGCTTGAGCCAGAATGGTCACGTTGTCCCATCCTGGTTTTCAACCCGTAATGCAATCAACAAACATGTGGAATTAGATCCCATATACAAACTCACGCAGAACAGAACCGGAAAGGACACAACCCAATGTAACAGACTGGATCATATAAATACCAAGCAGAGTCGAACAACATCGCTTCATCGGAGGCTGCACTGATGGCGTTACCTAGCATGGTGATGAAATGCCTGTACGATAACTGGCAAGCCAGCTAACAACCTCATCCATAAATGGAGCTATAAATCTTCGCAAGAACCTTAATCTTCCCTCTTTCCCTGCAACTGTCTGATGCTGAAGCAGACCATTTAGAACAACATCATGCTTAACCTAAACTTTAAACAATATGTTCATATCACCATCAAAAACCATCTATTTCCACATAGTGACATCATCCAACTCCACCCTAGTCTCAGCTCATCTATTTTGCAATTTTCTCCATTCAATTCTTACATTTAAACCATCATGCTGCACTCCCGGCTGGCCTCACACATTTAAGCTCTCAGTAATTTTGAGGTGATCTGCAGTTCTGCAGCTTATAAATCGGTCGTAAATTCTGATGTTGAAACTCTGCTACAAAGAAAAAGAGCAAATAGTGGAAATAATCAGCAGGCAAGGTAATAACTATGTTTCAGGATATGCTGAATATATTACAACTAATGAAAATGATGGAGAATTTGCCTTACTACAGAAGATCAGAAGTGGAGAAATTAGCTCCTGTGTAGGAAAAAACAGTTCCTGACAATGAGATGGTAAAGCTGGTAAATCAACAGCACAATGCTGGGCAGGGGCAACAGTGGAAACTTCATTTAGGCAAAGTTTGCAGAAACAATCGGACAAACAGGAAGGAAACTAACAACAAGAGTACATGAACACCAACTGGCTACAAACAGACACGACCAATACTCACTCATCTCAATCCACATGGACAAGGAGAACCACCACTTCGACTGGGACAACACCAAGATGCTGGGACAGGCTAGGCAGAGACAGGCACTAAAATTCCTAGAAGCATGGCACTCCACGAAGCATGCTATTAATAAACACATTGAACTCTACCCCATATACATTCCACTACGAAGGAAAACCGGAAGTGAGGCAATCCAGCTCAATGGACCCCAGAGTTTAAAAATGAGGTGGGAAAACACACCGACGCTTCATCGGAGGCTGCACTGAGGATGTTACCCAGCATGGCAACGAAATGTCTGCAAAACAAGAAACCAGCTCGGCGAGCCAACCAACCTCGAAGTACACATTATTAGAGGCAGAGGGAGTTAGACAAGGGGACAGAAGTGGACCTGGGATAACAGAGTGTGGAGCTGGAGGAACACAGCAGGCCAGGTAGCATCAGAGAACCAGGAAAGTTGATGTTTTGGGTCAGAAATTTCTGAAGAAGGGTCCCGACTCAAAACGTCAAACATTCCTGCTCCTCTGATGCTGCCTGGCCCGCTGTGTTCCTCCATCTCCACTATCTCTGAATGGATGGACGTGGATTCTGATCGACAGTAAAAGGAGCCACACCAGCCTCAGAGCTCGTGAACAAGAACGTACAACTAATGCTTTAAAATTATAAATGAAAGCTTAATAATTCTAACCTCTGACACAATTTCTTTAATTTTAAAATCTCCAGCTAGCCCCTGTATCTTGAATGATATCAGAAACAGAATAATCTCTCAGATTTCTAACACCCATAAAAGGATGTGACAAAAGACAGAATTTGAGAGGAAATAAACACTTGGCTTGAATTTGCAGCACACAAATGATCTTCTTTTGTCCCCATGCAAGAAAAGCTTCTAATATCCATCCAGATCCATGATATAAATGCACAACGTTCGCTTTCTGCTTCCTGGGTGAAGATGGTAATGCACATGCTCAATCTCTGTCAAGGTAGCAACTGTTCCCCTGGCTTTCTCAAAAGATTTTTCGTAAATACTCAGAGTACCTCCAGAACATTGTCCTGGACAAAAAGATTATGTCTTCTATAACCTCTGGGTTCAATTATGTTCTGATCATAGTGATAGGTCATGGCTAGACAGTAGGACATCCAGTGTCCGCTTGAAGCATCCTCCAGTCAGATACAACTCCGGTTAGAAACATAGTGAATCTCCCTTCACATTATCCCCAATCCACTGTCACAGCCAGATACAGCACAGCTTAGGTACACTCAGAATATCCCTCAACATTATCCCCATTACACTGTCCCAGAAAGTCAAGAGTACATATCTACTTCTACCTTTACCAAATATGAAAATGGTGACAACGTCAGAGTTAAAAATGTGGGTCTTGAGCAACTGAACTGTATAGTGATACATAAAGAGGTGGTAAAAAGGCTGGCAAAAATCCAGATACAGAAGTCACCAGGCCCAATGGGATGTATCCTAAATTGCTGTGAGAGGTAAAGAAGCAAATTGTGATGCCAATGACAGAAATTTTCTGAGCATAGGATTAGGCTTGGGGAGCTGGAAGACTAAAAGTGACACTTTTGTTTATAAAATGGGCAAAGATAACTCAGAAAACTGCAGACCTGTCAGCTTGACATCAATAGGGGGAAAACTGATGAATGCCAGAATATAGTATAAAGTAAAAATAAACTTAGAGATAAAGAAGTTAATTCTCGGCAATCAACATGGCTTTGTCAAGGGCAGGTCATATCTGACAAATTTGATAGAATTCTTTCACAGGGTAACACAAGCAGCGGATGAAGATGGTTCTATGGATGTTATTTATTTGGACTTTCAGAAAGTATTTTATATAGTGCCACAAGGTAGGTTGGTTAGCAAAAATCGAAATGTTTGGGATTCATGGCTCCTTGGCTGTATGGATTGGAAGCTGGCTAAAGATAGGAAACAGATGGTAGGTATAGATGGGCATTTCTCAGACAGGAGATGAGTTGAAAGTGCAGTTCCCCAGAGACAAGTGTTGGGACCCTTGTTTTTTTCTGATTTGTAGAAATGATTTGGAAATCGGTGTTGATGGCAAAATCTCTAAATTTGTAGTTGATACTAAGAAAGGGAAAATAGTGAATTCTGAGGAGATGCTAAGTGGCTTCAAAGGGTCATTGACAATATGACCAAATGGGCAAATACCTGGCAGATGAAACTCAATCCAGAGAACAGTGAGGTGATGCTTTTTGGTAGAAACAACACACAGGGACAATGTAGGCTTCAAAAGGTACAACTTTGAGGGGTGTACAATTATGTGCATAATTCTCTGAAGGTAACCAGGTGAGTTGAAACAGTTAAGTCTTATGGGATCCTTGGGTTTAGAAATAGAAGCATAGAGTGTAAAAGCGAGGAAATGAAGCCACATCTCTACAAATCATTGATCACACCACATTTGGAGTATTATTGAGTTCTGGCACTTTAGTGAAGGAAGGATATAAAATGCTATGATTCTAGATTCGAAACACAGGGAATCTTCCTTCACATTATCCCCCATCACACTGTCCTGGGCAGATACAGCGCAGGTTAGATACATAGTGAATGTCCCTTCATATTGTCCTCATCACACTTTCCTGGGCAGTTAGAGCACAGGGTGGATATACAGG